AGGTCTGGAGTTCAAGACCACCCTGGCCAAAGTGGTGAAACCCCGTCTCTACTGAAAATACAAAAAATGAGCCGGGCGTGGTGGCACGCGCCTGTTGTCCCAGCTACTTGGGAGGCTGAGGCAGGAGAATCCCTTGAACCCAGGAGGCGGAGATTGCAGTGAGCCCAGATGGCACCATTGCACTCCAGCCTGGCGACAGAGCAAGACTCCGTCTAAAAAAAGGCTAAAAGGGGGACCCAGATTCAGATTCCCTTTTATTCAAGGAGCTCTGTGTCAAGGAACTGGCTCAAGCCTTATTGAGGGGAGTTCAACAGACTAGCTCAAGTCAGAATTCTGTTCACCAGATCTAGAGCTTTTCTGTTTATACAAATCAAGTAAAACTTTCAAAGGCTGCCATCTATTTCAGTTCTAGGGACACTGGAATCAATTAGCTAACACCAAAAATATCTACAGATAAGGGCCTTTCACCAAAACTTCCAAGGAGGCCTTCTCTTTCTCTTTGAATGTTAATTGCATGTTCTTTTTTAAAAAATTTTATTATTTTTTTATGACAGAGTCTTGCTCTTGTTGCCCAGGCTAGAGTGCAATGGTGCGATTTTGGCTTACTGTAACCTCCATCTCCTGGGTTCAGGCAATTCTCCTGCCTCAGCCTCCAGAGTAGCTGGGATTACAGGCACCCATCACCACACCCAGCTAATTTTTGTCTTTTTAGTAGAGACAGGGGTTTCACCATGTTGGCCAGGTTGCTCTTGAACTCCTGACCTCAGGTGATCCACCTGCCTCAGCCTCCCAAAATGTTGGGATTACAGGCGTGAGCCACCACACCCAGCTGGCATGTCCCTAATTTTTATTTCTCTTATTCTTCTGTATGCACTCGAGGGCCTATTGTTGCTATAATTGTCACAGATTCCTTTCCTCATGCCTTGCCCTTTTTTTTTTTTTTTTTTTGAGATGGAGTCTCGCTCTGTTGCCCAGGTTGGAGTGCAGTGGCTGGATCTCAGCTCACTGCAAGCTCTGCCTCCCAGGTTTACGCCATTCTCCTGCCTCAGCCTCCCGAGTAGCTGGGACTACAGGCGCCCGCCACCTCGCCCGGCTAGTTTTTTGTATTTTTTAGTAGAGACGGGGTTTCACCGTGTTAGCCAGGATGGTCTCGATCTCCTGACCTTGTGATCCACCCGTCTCGGCCTCCCAAAGTGCTGGGATTACAGGCTTGAGCCACCGCGCCCGGCCCATGCCTTGCCCTTTACCTCACTTCATCCCATGGTACTACCAGTAAAAATTTGAATTGTGACATCATGGCATGCCATGGATCACTCACGTCCCACTCCCGGCCTCTCCTCCACCACCTCCCTTAAGGTGGTGATTGAGCTCTTCAAGTATGACCAACCCAATCCCAGAATCTAATTTTAAGAGTCTGTTTCCCAGGGCCACTTCTGGTACCAATTACTCTATCAGTCTGGATCCCAAAAAGGAACAGATGGAGCACTTGTAATAGCATAATTTAAAGAGGACTTATGTAGCATAACTTAACAAAGGGAGGAAACAGTTACCAGAAAATGAGGACAGAGCCACGTAGATTCAGATTCAGTAAGAGACCTCAGGTGGAGGGACAAAGCAGCTAGAAACAATCTTGCAGGGAGGGAATTAGAGGCAGACAAACTCTAACTAGGGAATCAGAGGACCTTACTGTCTTCCCTCTCACTGATTTCCTTGGGGGGATCCCTGGTGAGCAAACCCAAAGGGAAGCCAGGGACCAGAGGGAATGTTAGTGTGGTTCATGAAGGCCAATCTGTGGAGAACAGACCTGAAGATGTAGGCACCTGCTACACTCTCTATTCCATAATTAGATTAATGAGATAATGAAAAGGCAACTGGGGATCTAAGAATCAATACTTTCCCACAGAGTCTACAAAGAAGTCTGACCTTAGACCAGACTGTACAGTACTGTTAAGTGATTTTCATATCCGTTCTCTTTGCTCCTCTGATTGAAGACATGTCCCCCCACATTCCTTTATAGACGGGGTAGTGCATTGAAAGAACTGAATATGGAGACAGGTTACCTGATTTTTTTTGAGACAGAGTCTCACTCTGCCCAGGCTGGAGTGCAGTGGCTCAATACAACCTCCGCCTCCTGGGTTCAAATGATTCTCCTGCCTCAGCCTCCTGAACAGCTGAAATTACAGGTGCACGCCACCACACCTGGCTAATTTTTTCTTTTTTCTTTTTTTTTGAGATGGAGTCTCGCTCTGTCACCTAGGCTGGAGTGCAGTGGTGTGATCTTGGCTCACTGTAACCTCCGCCTCCCGGGTTCAAGCAATTCTCTGCCTCAGTCTCCCGAGTAGCTGGGATTACAGGTGCCCACCACCATGCCCGGCTTATTATTTTTTTTTTTTTGAGACAGTCTCATCCTGTTGCCCAGGCTGGAGTGCAGTGGCGCGATCTCGGCTCACCACAACCTCCGCCTCCTGGGTTCAAGTGATTCTCCTTCCTCAGCCTCCTGAGCAGCTGGGACTACAGGCATGTGCCACCATGCCCGGCTAATTTTCGTATTTTTAGTAGAGATGGGGTTTCACTATGTTGGCCAGGCTCATCTCGAACTCCTGACCTCGTGATCTGCCTGCCTTGGCCTTCCAAAGCGCTGGGATTATAGGTGTGAGCCACTGCATCCGGCCAATTTTTGCATTTTTGTAGAGACAGGGTGTCACCATGTTGGCCAGGCTGGTCTCAAACCCCTGACCTCAAGTAATACCCCCACCTTGGCCTCCCAAAATGTTGGGATTACAGGTGTGAGCCACTGCGACTGGCCAATGTACTTTTCTAATGTACAATCTGTAAATCTTTGAAGTCTCCTTAACAATTTTTTTTTTTTTGAGACAGACAGAGAGGAGAGACAGAGAGAGAGGAGAGAGAGAGAGACAGAGACAGAGAGACACATACAGGGTCTCACTACGTTGCCCAAACTGGATTTGAACTCCAGGGACTCAAGTGATCCCCCAGACTTAACGTCCTGAGTAGCTGGGACTACAGGTGTGTGCCACTGGGCCCAACTTTCTCCTTAACTTCTGAATTTACTTGAATTAAATTCTAATTTCTATTATTCTAAGTTACTACTTTTTCTATATCCTCCACAGCTCATGTAATTGATAAGAAGGTTTTAACAACTGCTCATCAATCTTCTCCATAACAGCATGTTCAGCTTTCTGCCAAACCCAACCAGGTCACAGATTCTTCTCCTTCTAGAAATTTTGGTTTCATGTTCTACTTTTAGGTCTACGATCCATTTCTTTTTCTTGATATAGGGTCTTGCTCTGTCACTCAGGCTGGAGTGTAGTGGCGCAATCTTGGCTCGCTGCAACCGCCCTCTCCCGGGTTCAAGCGATTCTTGTGCCTCAGCCTCCTAAGTACCTGGGACTACAGGCGCGCACCACCACACCCAGCTAATTTTTATATTTTCAGTAGAGGTGGGTTTTGCAATGTTCGGCAGGTTGGTCGTGAACTCCTGGCCTCAAGTGATCTGCTCGCCTTGGCCTCCCAAAGTATTGGGATTACAGGCGTGAGCCACCGTGCCTGGCCGTATGATCCATTTTGAGTTAATTTTTATAGAAGGCACAAGGAATGGATGAAAGATTTTTGTTTTTGCAACATATTCAGTATCACTTATTGAAGACTATCTTTTCTTCATTGAATGGCCTTGCACTGTCAAAAATCAATTAGATTTGTGTAGGTATATTTTTGGGCTATTCTGTTCGCACATGTCTATCCTTTTGCCAACAATATGTTACTGCATCTATAATTGAGTCCAAACCAGGTAGCGACCCCTCCAATTTCTTCCTATTACAAAGTTGTTATGGCATAATTTGTCTTCCCACATAAATTTTACTACAGAGAAGGTCTCACTATGTTGCCCGGGCTGGCCTGGAACCCCTGGGCTCCAGTGATCCTCCTATCTTATCCTCCTGAGTAGCTGGGACTACAGGTGAACGCCACCACACCCAGCTTTCCACATGTATTTTATAGAAGCAGCTTGTGGGTATTTACAAAAAAGCCTATTGGGATTGACTGGAAATGCATTGACCCTCTAGACCAAATTGGTGAAACTGATTTATTCTTCCAGTCCATGAACCATGGCATCTTCATTTACCTAGGTCTTATTTTTTCTGTCAGTTTATTTTGTAGCTTCAGCATATATGTATTGCACATAGTTGTTTGTCCCTTGGTATCCATGGGGGTTGGTTCCAGGATTCCACCCTCCCTTGCAAATACGCAAACCCTCAGATGCTCAAATCCCTAAAGTGATGTAGAGTTTGCGTATTATCTCTGGACATCATCTTGTATACGTTGTCATCTCGATTACTCGTATCTAGTACAGTAAGTGCTATGTAGATAGTTGTTACACTGTAGTTTAGGGAACAAGAAAAATCTGTACATACCCAGTACAGACCCAACCATTGTAAGCCTAACACTTTTGGTCTGCAGTTGACTGAATGCACAGATGTGAAAACCCAGATACAGGGGACTGACTATTTCCTCAGTTATACTTAAGCATTTCTTTGGGTAGAGAGGTAGTGAGGGGTGTGCGCAGCTTCAAGTGTCTGCTTTTCCCAACTTAGATCTTTTATTTCATCAGTGGTTTGTAGTTCCCAGCGTAAGAATTCCGTTCATACTTAGATGTAGTATTGGGGTATGTTCAGTTTTGGGGGTATGTTCAGTTTTACATCTGAGAACAACTGTAGGAGGTGATAATTACTGATATATTTGGACATATTAAGGACCACATCTCCCCTCTTCCCAACTGATTATCTTGCTTCTCCATTTAGGCTGTGAAATCTGACAGCATGGTGGAGCAGTATCTAAAACAGATGAAGGGGCTCTGAATTAACCTGGGCTTCACAGCAATGATGTGTTGAGAAATGTCTGACTGCTTCACAGTATGAATTACGTCAGCAAAATGCTCAGATTCCTATGCGCACAGCTGCTACTAAGGACATACCATACACACATTTGGAGTTCCAGTGGGTTTTTATTGAGATAAATTAACAAAAACCAAGATTTTACCATATTTTTTGAACCTTATAAACTCAGCAGACTCTGGTCCATATATGTGTACATACAACATAACACATCCCAACAAAAACAGAGCCCCACTGGAACATCTGCCAATTAAGAGAAAGCCAATTTTCCCTTCCCCCGATGTTTCAGAAATTTTGAGTTCCCACTGTTCACTTCTCAGTGGAACTGGTCCCTTGTGGCTAGGGACATTGGAATTCTCTACCATTTTTACTGAACAAAAAATAATTTTTTTCCTTTGTTTCAAAAAAGGGAACAGTGACTTTGTTTTCTCCAGGCACCCCTTTCCCCACAACCAATGGTTAAAACACAGCAGCCTGTATCTTAATAACCCAGCCCTACCCCCTCCCTTGCCCAGCATTGTCTACTGGAGAATTTAAATACACTTCTGTTGGAATCTGTCAGCTGTGGAGGGGCAGAGTCCAGGTGCCAGGCTAGCTCCCTCTGACCTCATGAACTGTGACAACCTTTGGACACTTAACTCTTTACTCCAAAGATGAGTTTTTAGATCAGAAAGGAGAGTAGATTTTCTTTGGGAGTTTTAAAAAACTATCTTTAGAGATATAATGTACAACTACAATCTCACAGAAGTCTACTCAAGTTCACCAAAAAGCTGACTTACTTCAGCTCTCATGAAGCCAATAATTTTGATAAAGGTATTTGGCAAGAAAATGATTCCACAATAACAAATTTAAAGATACCAAGAACGTTGAAAAAATAGCAAATTAAAATAACATGGCTTAATTCCCAAGAACTTATTTCATTTTTTGTTACTCATCTAGAAGGTCAGGAGTGTGGCTAAAGGCAGTTTCTGATGAGGTTATGAGCTTCCAAAGTGTTTCTAAATCCTTAGTGCAGACACCCTCCCTTTTGGGGCAAAGTACCCTCCCTCCCACCCCATTAAAAAAAAAAAATTAAAAAATTAAATGTCATCAGAATGAGATGTTTTGATTCCAACAATTTACACTCAAGGCTTTGTGCTGAGTTGTCGTTTGAACCAAGCATGATGGTATCAAGCACAAAGCACGTGGCAAAGGAAAGATGCTCCCATCTCATTCTGAAAACAAATACTGATAACCAAGCCCACCCTCCAACCCTTTGGGGCCAACCCATTTTATGCTGCTGGGACCAACTTGAAACAATTTAGAGGTATATTTAGGTTTCCCTCTCCCGTACTTCTGTGAAAGATCATTTTACAATAAACGTATTCCATTCCTACGGGAAAGGCAAAACAGTATTTATCCCCATCGAGAATATATGGGGAAAGAAAAAACATAGGCCTAGAGGTGGCAAGGTGTGTAACAGTCCATAGCCCATTACACACCTATACAACCAAAGGCTAAACCATGAGTTGGATGTAGTTTTAACATTAAAAATAGGGGGTAGTTCTCATCCAAATGAGCCACTGGAAAATATTGTTACTTTAAAAAAAATACATATCCAATATTGGAAAGAATGTGAAAACAACTTCCAAGAGTAACAATGCTCCTTATTATGAGGGCCCAAAAAAGAAAAAAACCAAAAATAATAAAATAAAAAAAAAAAAGACCAGGCTTTGACCTAGTCCTTAGAGCATCTTTCCACTAAACAATTCCTATTCAAGAGTCAAGCACCAAAACTGGACAGCTGCCTCTACAAGACCTTGTCCAGTAGTGGTGTCCCAGATAGTTTAAGTGCCACTCCTCATTAGAGGCTATACTTCAGTAATACTTTCAATTTTAAGTCTGTGCTTTAAGAGGGACCCACAGGCATGTGGCACCAGGCAGTCTCAAGGTAGCAAAGGAGACTGCACTTTTTGTTTAGTCACCCACATGTTCTCTAGCGAGATACAGAATTGCATTTATACTCTTTTCTTCTATATGAATGATCCCTCTTATCTCGCAAGAGGTGGGGGAGAAAGAGAGCTGCATCGGTACAAGGGCAAAATTTTTTTGGTCAAAAGTTGACACCTTTTAAATTCCCTCTCCCACCCCTCCCTGGAAAAAAAGTTACTTCCTTAATTAGGTTTTCTATTTAGTAACCAACATTAACTGGACAGAACATATGAGGCTTGGGTTCCAAATAGATGAGCTTGCTCTTTTTTGGTTTTGTACCGTGCAGCTCTTGCTACAGTTGTTACGGAGTTAGGGCTATGTCCCATCAGGAGGCATCTGTAGGATTTTGATCTCCAAGGAATTGTGGGTGAGTCACAAATCGTTTGCTCACAAGTAGGCAGAGTCAAAAAAGCAACTTCAAGTAATTGATTTCTTTGTCCAAAAGAGTTAAAACATTAAAGTATATGCAGGACTTATTTTGTAATATTTTAGGGTTTTGAAAAACAATAAAATATGGAAATCAACTTTTTTAAATTTTGTTTTTTCCCCCCTTTCCCGATGCCTCCTGATTGACCTAGTACACTGGGTTAAAAGGGAATTAAAAACATTTAAAAAAAAAACCAAAAAAAAACCAAAAAAAAAAAAAACTTCACTGGTTTTGATTCATCTCACTCCTTTTGCCTGGAGATCAGGCCAAACATCAAGCATGTTGGGAGGGGCACAATTTAAAGCAACACTATTGACTGTAAAGCATTTGCCGGCAATTTACAGTGCAAAATGACATATAACAATTCTTGTCACAACGCAAGAGAATGGCAAGCAGCATTCTGTAGCATGAAAGTTAACAGCTCTCAGGTTGCCCATTCCTGCAAAAGTTTACGTATCGAAGTGGGCAGAGGGCAACACATTTACACACTACAGGAAATGATCCACAGAAAATTAAGCTCCAGAACTGCTAACGTTACCAAAGCTGGTACTGGCTAATATTCTGAAATGCAAATCTGTGCTTTATATATATACTGCTCAATGACACTGCCACTCAATAGAATTCCCACACTGCAAGGTAGATTAATCTATCTTTGCCCCCTGTTGCAGAGCTTGAAATATTCCTCAAACTTTTAGAGGGGGAAGAAGCAAAATCAGAGCTTCTCAAAATAAATCTTGAATTATCAATGTTTTGAAGCTTCCTTGCTCTCTGGGAAACCTACTCCAAAGGTACTAGATGAGACAGTGTGGCAGCAAACAGTACATCCCAGATTTCTGGGCCCCTTTACCAACACAGGGTACCACAGAAATCTGCTCTCTACAGCAAGAGGCCAAAGTACTCTCTAGAGTTTAGTGTTGCGTAAAACTGAGCCCCTCTCATCTTTAGCTGCTCCCATAATCACTCTAATCCCCTTAATCCCAGCAACCTTCATCCAAAAAAAAAAATATATATATGTATATATATATATATATATATGAACCCAGAAAAAAAACTTATTTACAAAGTTTATACAAGTATACACACCCAATTTTCTATGGGACACGCTTTGCCACAGAGGAAAGAGGGTCAAGGCTCTGACATGTCTACACATCAAGTGCCATACTGCTATGGGAGGCGTGTGTAAACCAGACTTCAGTGTCTGCTGTAGAGCACAAAGGCTTGTCATACGGCTCCTGCAATGATAGACTGCTCTTTCCTTTGGGAGCGATGATGTTTTATCTACTCAGCCCAGAAGAAACTTTTACTTGGGATTTTTTTTTAAATACATGTATTTACAGTGCGGATGAACTGCAGTTGCATATCAACTCCTCCACAAAAAAAAAAAAAAAAAAAAAAATGGTGTTTAACATTACTAGTAAGTTTCAACTTCTAGCCCTGGGCTTGAGTATTGGGTAGAAAGGGAAGAGACTTCAACTTGAAACCAAATGAAAAGACAACATTTTTTAAAAGAAAAAGAAAAAAGGAAAGAAAGAGTTACTATTGTTGATTCCTCGGGCTGTGTCTAAAAGATGATATTCTGAATGGTCTCATAGCATAAGGCACTTCGCACAAATAAGTAATAAGCTCTTCAGGCTTAAAAAACGGATGAGTAATCAGGGAGAAGTTGAAATGCACTCGAGAGTCAGCTGTTGGAGAATTTTGAAATCATAGACAAGCTTGTGTGTTCATTAAGATTCTTCTCTTTTTAGGGTTTCTCCCCTTCTCTTCTTTCTTTTCCTTCCTTGTCCCCTTTCCCCAGAAAACATTTTTTAAAAACCAGCAGTTAGTGCAACTAATGTTCAGTCAGCACACAGTGCAAACAAGTGGAACAAAAAAGGTATATTCCTTTTCAGCCTTTTTCTCTTCACCAGTTAAAAAAAGAAAAAATGTCTGAGCTCTTTTAAGTCTTCGTAGTTCCAAAATAAAAGATGAAAAACCCACAAAGAGAAGAGCATTCCCCCCAAAACGATGTGTCACAGATCCAAACGAGCCTTTTGTAGTTTGTCAAAGCCTACAGAAAAAGGAAATATAAAATTAACATTCTGAAAGCAACACAAACAAGGATACATAGGTTTTCACAATCCTCATCCCAAATGCTCTTTTCTAGTAGTTTCTACTGACCCTGTGCCTACTACAGAATCTACTGGTTATAGGATTAAATAATTTCTGGTAGGCAACTCTGAGACAGATTGGGGGCCCGAATGAATGTGAATGTTCTGACAGCAGGCAACCCTCACTCATAACAATTAAATCATGGGGAAAAAATTACACCTTAAACAAACTGAATACTCTGCCAAAGTACTAGCAAACATTGGCTAGTTTTATGCTTGTCCAGGGGTTTGTGTTTGATGTTTAACTTAAGGAAAAAAGAGTAAAGAGTAATTCAAAAATTATTTAAGTAACAATTGATTGGGTGAGGTGGCTCCCGCCTGTAATCTCAGCACTCTGGGGAGGCTGAGGTGGGCAGATCACCTGAGGTTAGGAGTTTGAGAGCAGCCTGGTCGACATGGTGAAACCCTCTCTCTTATTTAAAAAACAAAGAGACAAAAATTTTAAGTAACATTAGGTTACGTAAATAGGTAAGATGTTCACCTATAATTTGAAAACCATCCTTTGTCAAATCAGATTTTCTTCAGGAAATACTGTAACAACCTACCTTGCTTAAAGCTGAGCCTTGTTTCGTGCATTTCTAACTAGAGCCCAATAGTCATCAAAAGATGATAGAGGCCGGGTGTGGTGGCTCACACCTATAATCCCAGCACTTTGGGAGGCCAAGGTGGGAAGATGACTTGAACCTAGGAGTTTGAGACCAGCCGGGGCAACACAGTGAGACCCCATCTTAATAAAAATAAGAAAAGATGGAGAATAGGTTGTCCAGGAAATCAAGGGTGGGTATTTTTTAAATTTATGTATTTGACAGAGTTTCACCCTTATTGCCTAGGAAATCAGAGTGGGTTATTTATTTACTTATGAGACAGAGTTTCGCTCTTACTGCCCAGGCTGGAGTAAAATGGCCTGATCTCGGCTCACTGCAACCTCTGCCTCCCAAGTTCAAGAGATTCTCTTCCCTCAGCCTCCTGAGTAGTTGGGATTACAGGTGCCCACCACCATGCCTGGCTAATTTTCTGTATCTTTAGTGGACACAGGGTTTCACCAGGTTGGCCAGGCTGGTCTTGAAGTCCTGACCTCAGGTAACCCACCCACCTCGGCCTCCCCAAGTGTTGGGATTACAGGCGTGAGCCACTGAGCCCAGACTGAGTGGCTTTTTTTTTTGAGATGGAGTCTAGCTCTGTCACCCAGACTGGAGTTCAGTGGCGCAATCTTGACTCACTGTAACTTCCACCTCCTGGGTTTAAGTGATTCTCCTGCCTCAGCCTCCTGAGTAGCTGGGACTATAGGTGTGTGCCATCACGCCCGGCTAATTTTTGTATTTTTAGTACAGACAGGGTTTCACCATGTTGGCTAGGATGGTCTTGATCTCTTGACCTCGTGATCCACCCACCTCGACCTCCCAAAGTAGTAGGATTACAGGTGTGAGCCACCACACCTGGCCCAGAGTGGGTATTTTAAAAAGACGGCCATCCTCATAATCTGATTAAACATTTGGTAATAAGGTATTATGGATAGTTTTACCAGAGTTACTAATGTACTTCCTAGAAATTAAGAATAAATGCTAAAAACATTTTACATTTTCAGAAATATTCAAAACTGCTGGCAGAGTGCGGGGACTCATGCCTGTAATCCCAGCACTTAGGAGGCTGAGGCGGGTAGATCACTTGAGGTCAGGAGTTTGAGACCAGTCTGGCCAACATGGTGAAACTCCATCTCTACTAAAACATACAAAAATTAGCTGGGCATTGTGGAGCAAGCCTGTAATTCCAGCTACTTGGGAAGCTGAGGCACACCAGAATCGCTTGAACCTAGGAGGCAGAGGTTGTAGTGAGCCATGATTGTGCCACTGTACCCCAGCCTGGGCAACAGAGCAAGACTGTCTCGAAAAACAGAAACAACAAACTGCCCCCCGCCATTGCCAAAAAAGGCCAGGCACAGTGGTTTGAGCCTATAATTCCCACACTTTGGGAGGCCAAGGCAGGAGGATTGCTGGAGTTCAGTTCTAGACCAGCCTGGGCAACAAAGCAAGACCTTATCTCTACCAAAAATTCAAAATACCAAAAATTCAAAATACTAGCCAACTAGCCAGGTGTGGTGGCATGTGCCTACAGTTCCAGTTACTCAGGAGCCCAGCAGAACTAGGCTGCAGTGAGCTATGATTGCACCACTGCACTCCAGCCTGGATGACAGCAAGACCCTGTCTCAAAAAGAAAAACAAACTGCTGAAAAAGATTCTTTTTTGCTTTCATTATTTTAGGTCTCTGAATTTAAGTACTGCTAACCTACCACATTACTCAGGAAGCTGCATTCAAGAACAACATTTACAGATTCTCTAATGAGACTACAACTTCCCACAAGACGTATTATTTACTGTCATTCATGCTAGTTGGTATTTTTACCCTTTATTGCTATTATATACGGTGTGACATCAAATTTCCCCCAGGAAAGATTTTTATTTCCTGCATTTAAAGGTTCCTCTTAGCTATTCTGTCAGGGACGTACATGCTTGTTAAGGTTTCTCATCTTCTACAGGCTCGCTGTGGTATTCTGCCACATACAGGCTCTTATCAATGTTGCTTGGAATAGGTTTAATTTCTGTTCCCAGCTGCTCCTCAATACTTTTCAGGTTGAAGCGATCATCATATGTGATCAAGTTGATGGCTAAGCCAAGATGACCAAAGCGACCTAAAAAAAAGTTGTTTAAAAATTTTAATGAATAAAATATGAAAATCAATGCAAATTGTGCAAGTCAAGCAGTGGCAAAACCACACAGGATTGATAATTCTGTTCAGTGCCACTCTTAGCATGCAAAACAACTTCTTAATGGTCTTCAAACACAGGTTTCCCTACAACTTCAGGTTTTGTTGCCCAAAGTAGTACTTTATTTTACCTTTCTCAAATGACAAAATGGCTACTCATCTGTGTCAAAAATTGTCATAAAATATACACTAAATAGTCACAGACCATACCACCTAATGAGTGAAGTTCTCATTTGTTAATTTCATCTCAAATTAAGCAAAGTTATTTTAACTTTTCTTAATGTTACAGAAGAATTAGAAATTAGTCTTAAATACCAAACAACTGAATTAGTGTTAATTCACTGTTCTCATAGCTACTGTACTCTATTTCACAAAGGAACAAAATTTAGTCATTACATGTCTCAAAAAAGAACTTCTATCAAGAATACCATGTCTTTTTTCCTCACCTGATCTTCCAATACGATGGAGATAGGTCTCGGCCAGCTTTGGGAAATCAAAGTTTATTACCACATTCACAGCTTGTATATCAATACCTCGGGTAAACAGATCTTAAAAAAAAAAAAAAGATAATTTTCATTCTTTCAATTTAGAAATGTCTCTCAGTACAATACTCTCTAACACACAGAGCATAACCTAAGTTTATTAATTTAATTCAGTTATTCAAATGCATTTGCATATTACTGGCATTACCTTTCATAATCACATTATCATGAACAACTTTCTGCTCACAAGTTACTTTTTTCCAGTAATTGTAAGCAAGTTTTAAAAAATATGTCTAAAAGAGGCTGGGTGCACTCAAGCCTGTAATCCCAGCACTTTGGGAGGCCGAGCTCAGTGGATCACCTGAGGTCAGGAATTTGAGACCAGCCTTACCAAAATGAAGAAACCCGTCTCTACTAAAAAAAAAAAAGTTAGCTGGGCGTAGTGGCGGGTGCCTGTAATCCCAACTACTCGGGAGGCTCAGGCAGGAGAATCACTTGAACCTGGGAGGCAGAGGTTGTGGCGAGCCGAGATCGCACCATTGCACTCCAGTCTGGGCAACAGGAGTAAAACTCCATCTCAAAAAAACAAATTAAAAAAAAATAGACTGATATTCAAAGTCCTCCAGGCAGGGCTTGGTGGCTCACACCTGTAATCCCAGCACTTTGGGGAGGCAGAGGTGGGTGGATCACTTGAGGTTAGGAGTTGGAGATTAGCATGGCCAACATGGTGAAACACTCCCTCTACAAAAAATACAAAATATAGCTGGGCATGGTGGTGTGCGCCTGTAGTCTCAGCTCCTCGGGAGGCTGAGGCGCGAGAATCACTTGAACCTGGGAGGCGGAAGCTGCAGTGAGCCGAGATCGTGCCACTGCACTCCAGTTTGGGCAACAAGAGCGAAACTCCGTCTCAACAACAAGAATAACAACAACAACAAAGTCCTCCATGCTATGCTTTGTCCTAATTTACTTCCCTAACACATCTCAGTTTTTCTTCTCTATCAAACTTATCTTCTTAGCCATCTGACCATCAGTCCCCTAAAACTTAATCCATGTGTTTGAAACTCATCTAGCCTAGAAAGCCAATTAAAATCTCATCTCTTCTCAAACCACCTCAGCCAATTATATTACTCTGCTACGAACACTTGGGATTACTTACTATATACATACTTCCCATTTGCAAGTCACCTTTACTGCCTTGTGGATCTAGTCCAGTGAATGATTTTGTAAACAGTTTTACTACAATATAGCCATGCCCATTTGTTTATGTATTGTCTAGGCTACTTCTGAGCTACAATAGCAAAACTCAGTATCTGTAATAAAGACCAATTAATGTGCAAACTCTAAAAAATTTACTATCTGGCACTTCATAGGAAAAGTATGTGAGCGTTTCCTTAGACTCCTAATGTTTACCTTTTTATCTCTCCAATTAAACCATACTCCCTCGAAGGGGTGGTATTTTATATATGCCCTTCAGTATTGGTCCTTCAAGAACTTATCTGAAGAAACCTTGCAAGCAAGTAATGATTTTTAAAAGCCCAACTGTCGGACGCGGCGGCTCACACCTGTAATCCCAGCACTTTGGGAGGCCGAGGCAGGTGGATCACCTGAGGTCAGAAGTTCAAGACCAGCCTGGCCAACATGGTGAAACCCCTATCTCTACCAAAAATTAGCTGGGTGTGGCAGCGGGCGCCCACAATCCCAGCTACTTGGGAGGCTGAGGCAGGAGAATCACTTGAACCCAGGTGGTGGAAGTTTCAGTGAGCTGAGATTATGCCACTGCACGCCAGTCTGGGTGACACAAACTCCATACCCCCCCGCCAAAAAAAAAAAAAAAAATCCTAGAAGTATTGGTAGGGTGTGCTGGACTATGTCACACGTTGCACCGTGTAGTATGAACAAAGAAAGCAAAAAAGAACCTGGGAGAAAAACACTGGGTAAAGGAAATACAAAAATACTTACCAGTGCAAACAAGATTGCGGCATAAGCCATTTCGGAAATCATGAAATACACGATTTCGATGTTCCTAGGAGAAAGCAATTTATTCCATTTGATTAGCACTCATATACAGCCCCAAATTTCCCATGATTATTTCTCCTAGTCGATCGGTTCTACCCAAAATCTGTTTATAAGTGATCCATGACATTAAGCTGCTTTCAAAACCAAATATGAGTTAAGTTATTGATCTCTTCATCTACAGAAACTGTTTACTTATGAAATTTCATAATGTAGTTAACAAAAAGTCATTTTAAGTTTTAAATTATTTTTTGCTAAATCAAATTCTGAAATTTAGACATTGCATCTTTCTCTAAAGGCAAACAGTAAAGAAAAAAGAAAAATCAGCCAGCTGAGGGGCCATATTTAAAAATCCAGAGCAATGCTGTCCAGTAGAAATTTCTGTAATAAAGGAAATGTTTGTGTCTGTACTTCCACTTCCAATACAGTATCCAGCAGCAACAGGTGCCTAACTGAGCACTTCAAATGTGGCTGTGATTGAGAAACTGACTTTTTTTTTTAATTTTAACTGATTTAAACGGCCACATGTGGCTAGTGGTTACTGGATTAAACAGAGAATTAAACATGGGAATGAAAGGAAGAATACAATTTTACATTTGTATTATGCCTGACAGCTTACAAAGTACTCATTTAAACATTTATCTTAATTTTTCTAACTACCTTGTAAGTTATGAATATGTACTATTATCTCTATTTTATTGCTAGAAAATGAACCTTAGGGAGGTCAAAATGAAAGGTCCTTTGGCTACTAAGGAACAGTTTATTCTTAAACTCAGGACATTTAAAAGAACATTAAAACAAAATAAAATCAGAGATTTCTTGTTAAATTTGTGCAAGTTCTAGTTTTATACTCACCTGCCTCATTTTAGCATGAATATAGAAGCAAGAATAACCCAGTTGAGAAATCTTCTTGGCTAGTAATTCAACTCGCTGAGAGGAGTTACAGAAAATGATCGACTGGTTTATCTGAAGCTGAGCACAGAAAAAATAAGTATGAGAAAAATAAAAACCTTCATTTGGCTTGCCAAATCTTGAAAACACTAACCAGCAAACAAGAAACATTAACATGGTCTAAAACTTAGAATCTTATGATATGAGAGAGACGGTAAATTCTAAGTACTTTAATAGATGGAATATAATAATATTTAAGATTTATTGTATTAGAGTGTATTTCTTAAGGGCCACGTAACTGTCAACAAGAGTAATACAATTATCTGATTCCAAGTAGTTATGTTTTATGTTTTTCCATTTAAGAATACCTGTGTGTGTGTGTGTGTGTGTGTGTGTGTGTGTGTGTGTGAAATGGAGTTTCACTCTTGTTGCCCAGGCTGGAGTGCAATGGTACAATCTTAGCTCACTGCAACCTCCACCTCCTAGGTTCAAGGGATTCTCCAGCCTCAGCCTCCTGAGGAGCTGGGATTACAGGCACCCACCACCATGCCTGGCTAATTTTTGTATTTTCAGTAGAGACGGGGTTTCAGCATGTTGGTCAGGCTGATCTCGAACTCCTGACCTCAGGTGGTCTGCCCACCTTGGCTTTCCAAAGTGCTGGGATTACAGGTGTGAGCCACCGTGCCCAGCCAAGAACATCTTCTTTAATATACTCACAACCAATGCCACTAGCACTGGGCAGCACTTCAGCACCATGAGTAGGGGTCAATTAAAACCGTGAAATCAGCAACAAAAACTTGAAAAATATGGCAGTGAAAAGGATACTTGTTCACAGTATGAGAGCTAAACAAGAGGACAGAACATTGTCTTCTTCAACCTCAGCTGGGTATGTGCGTGTCAGGTGACTTAAACTCTTTGCCACACTGTACACGTCCACAAATGACTGCTAAACTGCCTTGAGTATTAATTCTGGAGTTACAAATAAATTCTAGTGACTAAGCAAATTCACAAATACAGAATATGTGAATAATGAGTATTAACCCTAGTAAAGGTCTAAGTATTTCAGAAACTATTCAAAAGTGTATCTGTGACTTGTTAATCATTTAGTATCAACTTTAGGTCAACAACTAAAACTGCCTTTTAGGAAACACTATGAATTTTTAAAAAACTTTTCTTTTCCTTCCCAAGATGGAGTCTTGCTCTGTCGCCCAGAGCTGGAGTGCAACGGCGTGATCTTGGCTCACTACAACTTCTGCCTCTTGGGTTCAAGCAATTCTCCTGCCTCAGCCTCCCAAGTAGCTGGGATTATGGGCACGCACCACCACGCCCAGCTAGTTTTTATGTTTTTTGTAGTAGAGACGGGGTTTCTCCATGTTGGCCAGGCTGGTCTCGAACTCCTGACCTCGTGATCCGCCTGCCTCAGCCTCCCAAAATGCTGGGATTACAGGCGTGAGCTACCACGCCAAGCCAGAAACACTGTGAACTTTTATACAGTGAAGACGGTAGGAAAACTTATGAAATAATCTGTTTTACTGGGACTCGAGAGATAATATTCAACAGCAGAAGCCTACTTCTTACCCTGGAGAAAAGTGTGTTGAGGCAGTGTACTTTTTGGCGCTCAGTTACATATGCGTAGTACTGGGTTACTCCCTTCAGAGTTAGTTCCTCCATCAGGTTAATCTCATAGGGTTTCTGCAAATGGGAATTCTGGGAGGGGGGAAAAAAAAGATGGTTCTTCTTCTTAAATGAAAGCAGAGTTCATCTCAAATTCAAAATATACCCACCCTATAGGTTTCTGTCTAATCAACTCTTGCTATAAGGGATGCAACTCTCTTCAAAACAAAATATATGATCTGTCATTACAGAATTTTCCCCCCGCTGCCCTGAGATGGAGTCTTGCTATCACCTAGGCTGGAGTGTAGTGGCACCATCTCCACTCACTGCAACCTCCACCTCCTGGGTTCAAGTGATTCTCCTGCCTCAGCCTCCCGAGTAGCTGGGATTACAGGCACACGCTGTCACAGATTTATTTTTGTATTTTTAGTAGAGACGGGAGTTTCACCATGTTGCCCATGCTGGTCTCGAACTCCTGACCTTGTGATCTGCCCACCTTGGCCCCCCAAAGTGCTGGGATTACAGGCCTGAGTCACCACGCAAGACCCGATAGAAATAAATTAAGATATAAGATCTCAAAAATGTAGCTAAGTTACTACAGGTTGAGTATTCCTTATCCAAAATGCTTAGGAACAAAAGCGTTTCAGGTTTTAAATTTTTTCTAATTTTGGAATATGCGCGTTAGTGACTGAGCATCTTTAATTTGAAAATTCAAAATCAAAAGAACATTTCCTTTTAGCATCATGTTTGTGGCTCAAAAGGTTTCAAATTCTGCAGTATTTTGGATTTCAGTTTACGATACTCAAGCTCTATTTTGTATATAGAATAATATTGGAATCAATTCAGCTAGCACCAATGGCTATGTCATCATGACACCAAAAACTAAGTGAAAGATGAGGAATTTAATTAATTACTATTACAACCTTCTTAAAAAGTCAGTTAATTTATGTAAAACAAATCTTTAATTGATTAACTGAAGAAAGAGCCAAAGGCTTGAAATAATTAGTATAAAGTATTTTCACAGATAGGAAGATGTAATTATGAATAAAAGCATACTCATAGGTCATAGGATGGCACTGATTCCAAGTACAGTTTTATACTCACCATGAACTTCTGTACACTAAGAGGGAAAGTAGCGGAATATAGTAAAATCTGCCTGTTTTTAGGTAGCGTGAGAATAATATCCTCCATTATCTGCACAAAATCCTGTGACAGCAACTTATCTGCCTGCAGTAGAAAGAAAAGACAATTTTAAAAACAATAAAATAATGTCTAAGGTCTTTGGTTAATACATGGTCAAAGAATAAGGCATCATCCAACAAAAGCATCCATGAAATGTTCCTGGTGGAAAACAATAAATTCTCTCTAACACTGCAGAGTCAAATATGCGTAAGGGGGTAGAATCTATGATCCCCATCTTCTAGGGCAAAAAAAAATTCTACACTACACAGATAAACCTCCCCCTTTCTGTAACAGAATTTAATTAATTAATTTATTTTTAGAGACAGCATTTCACTCTGTCACCCAGGATGGGATGCAGTGGCATAATCATAGCTTACTGTATGCAGCCTGAACCTCCTGGGCTCAAGTGATCATCTTGCCTCAGCCTACCGACCTACTGAGAAGCTGGGACTACAGGCACATACCACCACGCCCAGCTCAACAGAATTTTAATGTGATGATTCTCATTAAAGAGGTAGTATGGTGTACGTGTTTAAAAGTACAGGTTCTGGCTGTGCACGGTGGCTCACGCCTGTAATCCCAGCACTTTGGGAGGCCGAGGCAGGAGGATCACGAGGTCAAGAGATCGAGACCAGCCTGACAAACATGGTGAAACCCCATCTCTACAAAATATACAAAAATTAGCAGGGTGTGGTGGATCGCACATGTAATCCCAGCTACTTGGGAGGCTGGGGCAGAATAATTGCTTGAACCTGGGAAGTGGAGGTTGCAGTGAGCCGAGATCACACCACTGCACTTCAGCCTGGGCAACAAAGCAAGACTCTGTCTCAAAAAAAAGTACAGGTTCTGGAGCTAAACTGCCAGGTTGAAATCTTGCCTCCTTCATTTCTTAGCTGTGTGGGAATGTTACAGAACTACTCTGTACTTCAGTTTCCACAACTATAAAATTGTAAAACTAAAATTTGGATGTTTACATGATGTAGTAACTACTTTACAGGGATTTAGAAAAAACTTGGCTAAGGTCAGGTATGGTGGCTCACACCTGTAATCCCAGCACACTGGGAGGCTGAGGCGGGCAGAGCATTGAGGTCAGGAGTTCAAGACCAGCCTGACTAACATGGAGAAACCCTGTCTCTACTAAAAATACAAAATTAGCCGGGCATGGTGGCACATGCCTGTAATCTGAGCTACTTGAGAGGCTGAGGCAGGAGAATCACTTGAACGAGGTTGAGGTTGAGGTTGCGGTGAGCTGAGGTTGTGCCACTGCACTCCAACCTGGGCAAAGAGACTCCGTCTCAAAAAAAACCAAACCAAACCAAAACAAAACAACAAAAAAGAAAAAACTTGGCTTTCAAGTTATCCAGCCACTCCTCTTCTTAAAAATTAAACCTAAACTCTGGCACCTGTAAGAAAAAGACAAAAGCTGAACTCTTACGAATGCCTAGCTACTGTATCTGAAGTATAAAACATATTTTATAAGCAAATTAAAATCTGGATGTCTACATACTATAGTAACTACTTGACAGGACACCTACCTTATAGGTTTCTTGTAAAAATTAAATGGAAAGAAAAAAAAAATGTAAAGCACTTAGTGTTGGTACCCAGTGACTAATAAATGTTCTCTTATTACTTAAAGATAAAAGCCTGATTTGAATTAAATGTTACCTAAAACACAAACCAGGCCGGGTGTGGTGGCTCACGCCTGCAATCCCAGCACTTTGAGAGGCTGAGGCGGGAGGATCACCTGAGGTCAGGAGTTCAAGACTAGCCTGGCCAACACAGCAAAAACCCGCCTCTACTAAAAATACAAAAATTAGCCAAGTGTGGGTAGTACACATCTGTAATCTCAGCTACTCAGGAGGCTGAGGCATGAGGATCACTTGAAGCCAGGAGGCAGAGATTGTAGTGAGCCGAGATCACGCCACTGCACTCCAGTCTGGGTAACAGAGTGAGTCTGTCTCAAAAAAATAGTAATAATAATAAAACACAAACCAAATGTGAAAATAACCTCATGTCAAAATATTAACACTGATACACTACAGATCCTCCTTGACTTACAATGGGATTATGTTCTGATAAATTCATCCTAAGTTGAAAATATTACCCAAACCTACTGAACATCATCATTTAGCCTAGCCTCCTTGAAACATGCTCCACTTAGCTTATAGTTGGGCAAAATCACTTGACAACACCGTATACTGTACAGTATCGGCTGTGTGCCCTCAATGATCATGTGGCTGACTGGAAGCTGCAGTTTGCTGCTGATGCCCAGCATCATGGGAATATCATATAGCATATTACTAATCAGGAAAAAAATTAATCTTAAAAATTCAAAGTACGGTTTCTAATGAAAGCTTATCACTTCCACTGAAAAACCATAAAGTGAACCATCGTAAGTCAGGGACCATCTATATATGTACAAAACATGGCTAGATCCCAGGACTACAGATTTTAATAAGTTTTTAAAAGGCATTTATAACACGGTGAGATAATACGTCTAACAGAGATTAATAACCAAACAGTACAAAGTAGTATGCACAAAATGAGACAATATATATTATATGCTTTTAAAAATTAATCGCCAAGGCTGGGCGCGGTGGCTCAGGCCTGTAATCCCAGCACTTTGGGAGGCCGAGACGGGCGGATCACGAGGTCAGGAGATCGAGACCATCCTGGCTAACACGGTGAAACCCCGTCTCTACTAAAAAATACAAAAAACTAGCTGGACGAGGTGGCGGGTGCCTGTAGTCCCAGCTACTCGGAACCCAGGAGGCAGAGGTTGCAGTGAGCTGAGATCGTGCCACTGCACCCCAACCGGCCCAAAAGAGGGGACCCCCCTCCAAAAAAAAAAAAAAAAAAAAATTAATTGACGAGTAGAAAGAGATGTAGAATAAATTTGGCTTTGCGGTTATTCACTCCTCTTCTAAAAAATGAAAATAAAACCTAATCTCTGCTATCTCTAAGAAAAAGACAAAAAGGAGAATTCCAATGAATGCCTATAATCTACTCCCGCTGACGGGTAAAACACATTTTATAAGCAAATTAATTTAAACTGATTGCTTATGTGTTTACTAGATCATAAACACAAGCAGCTTTTGCTTCATTCACTGGCAGTTATAAGCAAAGCACAGAAAAGTACAGAATAGTATAATGCCAAATGAAGAGATATTACCTCATCCAACACTATCATCTGGACATGATCAACCTTTGCTACTCCTTTCTTAATAAGATCCAGGATTCTCCCAGGGGTAGCAATCACCACGTGCACTATGCAAGATTTAGAAAACATATATTCTCATTAATTTTAATTTGGGCAAAAAGGATATTGTAAAGGTTTATCATATTACAGTCCTGAGTTGCTTAATGATAATTCTGAGAAATGCATTGCTATGCGATGGTACAGCCTACTCCACTGTATAGCTCCATTATAATCTTATGGGAACACCGACATACATGCGGTCTGTCACTGATCAAAACATTGTTGTGCAGCACATGACTATCTTTTATCAGAAACACTAGGCCGGACACCGCGGCTCATCCATGTAATTCCAGCACTTTGGGAGGCCCAGGTGGGTGGATCACATGAGGTCAGGAGTTCGAGACCAGCCTGGTCAACATGGTGAAACCCTGTCTCTACTAAAAATACAAAAATTAGCTGGGTGTGGTGGTGGGAGCCTGTAATCCCAGCTACTCAGGAGGCTGAGGTAGGAGAATCGCTTGAACCCAGGAGGCAGAGGTTGCAGTGAGCCGAGACCACACCACTGCACTCCAGCCTGGGCAACAGAGTAAGACTGTGCCTCAAATTAAAAAAAAAAAAAGAAAAGAAACACATTGTGTTATAGAGGTGGGAATAACACAAAAAGGTCCAAAGATGTGTTTTAGGATAAAGTCTTCCATTTCACCGCAGGATGCTTAAAAATACTTTTCACCTCTACACTGGGTGGGGTACAGCTTCCCAAATCACCTGCTTCCAACAGGAGGCATACTTTCTCGTCTTAGGGTAATTCCCAATTAATAACAGAAGGCACACCAGACTTCTGACATAAAAGCAATGCCTCTAATCTGGAACAGTGAACCGAGTATTGTTAAAAGGATCAAACAAGATAACAATTTTTAAAAAACCTATGCAATACAAAGAATATATCACATAATTATATATAGTATTCTAACTAAAATTTTAGATATAATTTTATGAGTGATCTCATTCTTGCTGTTTTGTTACCTTTTTCCACTTAGCAATGTATCATGAAAATCTTAATGAAAATGAATACAGATCAACTTCACTCCTTAATGACTATGTAGAATACTATTCAGAATATACTTTAATGTATTTATTTAGCCAATCTCCCTCTAAGTTGGTCCAACTTTTTGGCACGACAAACCACCCCACAGTAAACAACTTTGTACATACAGCCCTACATTTACCCAACTTTTTTCTTCAGGAAAGATTCTTAAAAATATAATTTATAATTTTAAAATAAGACTGCCAAATTGCTCATGATAGAGATGTAAGTTGACACCCCCACGTTTACAACATAGCCTATTTCTCCACAAACTCACATTAATGTCTACTACTACTTTTAGCTTTACCAATTAAACAGGTAAAATTACTATAAACTTGCTGTTTTAGAATTACTAATAAAGTCAAATATTGCTTTCAATTATGGTCAATCTGTTTTTTTCTCTTGAATGCAATGGTCATTTCCTTTTTTAACTGCAGGATTTCTGTTCCTTAATTCTTAGAAACAATTTTTAATAATTTACTGAAACACTTGAGACTAAAATTACAGAGAGCTACACTACCTTTCAGTAATCATTTCTTACCTGTATCATCAAGCCTCATTATGTCATCTCGTAAATTGGTTCCTCCTGTGGTTGCCATCACTTTGGCCCCTCCCATGTGTTTGCTGACCTGGATGCAAATTTGACTGACCTGTAGAGCAAGTTCTCTAGTGGGAACAATCACCATTGCTGAAACAACATCAAGGAACATATGAGAAAACATGGGGTGAGGTGGGAGAACATACTATACATCATATTTACAAAATTCAAGAAGCTACAGAAATGCTGCCCCTTATGATGCAGTGGCTCAAGCCTGTAATCCCAGCACTCTGGGAGGCCAAGGTGGACAGATCACGAGGAGTTTGAGAGCAGCCTCACCAACATGGTGAAACCCCACCTCTACTAAAAATACAAAAATTATCCAGGCTTGGTGGCACGCAGCTGTAATACCACCTACTCAGGAGACTGAAGCAGGAGAATCACTTGAACCCTGGAGGCGGAGGTTGCAGTGAGCGAAGATCGCGCCACTGCACTCCAGCCTGGGCAACAGAATGAGACTCAGTTTCAAAAAAAAAAAAAGGCGGCCAGACGCGGTGGCTCACACCTATAATACCAGCACTTTGGGAGTGCTGGGATCCACCCAAGGTGGGTGGATCACCTGAGGTCTGGAGTTTGAGACCAGCCTGACCCTATCTCCACTAAAACTACAAAATCAGCCAGGCGTGATGGCACATGCCTGTAAGCCCAGCTACTAGGGAGGTGAGGCAGGAGAATCGTGAACCCAGGAGGCAGAGGTTGCAGTGAGCTGAGATCGCACCATTGCACTCCAGTCTGGGAAACAAGAGCAAAACTCCGTCTCAAAAAAAATAAAAAATAAAAAAAGAAAAGAAAAGAAAAGGACACACTGCCCTTATAATCTAGATACTGAGATGTATTAAAAAATTGGGCTGGGTAGCACAGTGAGTAACTCACACCTGGAATCCCAGCAGTTTTGGAGGCTGAGACGGGAGGATCATTTGAGCTCAGGAGTATGAGACCAGCCTGGGCAACGTAACAAGACCCCATCTCTACTAAAAAAATCAAAAAAACTAGAAGTAGAATCATCACAAGACTCACAGGACATTATGAAAACTCAAATGGACAAATCTATTTACAAAAAGAGAACTTATTATAGTGTCCCAGATTTAGACTTTCCCTCAGCAATACTATCATATAAATATTACACTCTTCTTTTTCTTTTGAGATGGAGTCTTGTTCTATTGTCCAGGCTGGAGTGCAGTGGCGCCATCTCAGCTCACTGCAACCTCCACCTCCCAGGTTCAAGCAATTCTCCTGCCTCAGCCTCCTGAGTAGCTGGGACTACAGGCACTGGCCACCACACCCAGCTAATTTTTGTGTTTTTAGTAGAGATAGGGTTTCACCCCGTTAGCCAGGCTGGTCTTGAACTCCTGACCTCAGGTGACCTGCCCACCTCAGCCTCCAGAAGTGCTGGGATTACAGGCATGAGGCACCACACCCAGCCAATACCCTTTCTTAATTACAAACTTTTAGCATGTTGAGTTGGCAACTATTAGCTCAAAGTTTATTAACTTAATATTTCTAAGAGCCCCAACTACATTTGAGTCAGATTCACCAGTGTAAAATACCTAAGTAGGAAACTCCTGCTCTCTAGGTTCTATTTATATCATATGAAAAGTCGGAAGAAACGGTAATTACAGATTAAGAAAGCTAAAAATGTAAAGTTTCAGAGGTGAAATCTTAATTCCATTAACTTACACTGAATGTAACTATGAAAACTGTTTATTCCCCACTGCCGAGGCTCTTAAAATCTCAGAACCCACAGACTTTAAACAGAAGTTCATGTTTCTACAAGGAATTCTGCTAACACTCATCTGCCACAAGAAATAGTTCCATAGTTTATAAGCAGCAATGTCAACTAATTTAACCTCTCTGGATCTCAGCTGTCTTTTTTTTTTTTTTTTTGAGTTAAGAGTCTCACTCTGTCACCCAGGCTGGAGTACACTGGCACAATCTTGGCTCACTGCAACCTCCACCTCCTGGGTTCAAGTGACTCTCGTGACTCAGACTTCTGAGCAGCTGGAATTACAGGTGTGTGCCACCACATCCAGCTAATTTTTGTATTTTTAGTAGAGACAGCGTTTTGCAATGCTGGCCAAGCTGGTCTTAAATATCTGGCCTCAGGTGACCCACCCACTCTGACCTCCCAAAGTGCTGGGATTACAGGCTGTGAGGCACTGTGCCCAGCCTCAGCTTTCCTACCTATAGGGCACTAATACTTATTTTTCCTGTCTCACTGGAATGCTGTCAAAACTGTGTATCATATAAAAACACTCTTAAAACTAGAAATCTCTAAAAAGCTGAGAATCATTTTTAAAAGACCATCATCATCAGGCTAAAAAAAAATCTGAAAAGAAAGAATACAGATTTTAGATAATGTAAATTCTGACTAAAAAAAGGCGTAGTATCTTCTACACATAGCTCCAAGGCTGAAACTCCCATTTTTAGTTTAAAAACAAACTTTTGTTCAACTAACCTTGTATATTGTCCTTCTTCAGGTCTAGCCGTTCAAGTAAGGGAATGAGGTAGGCACCGCTCTTGCCTGTTCCATTTTTTGCTCTAGCTAAGATATCCCTACCAGATAAAGCAATGGGAATGCTCTCCTCCTAAAAGAGATAAGACAATACAAAATTACTTGTGAATTTAGTACACAAGCAAATTCCTCTCTGAAATACACTGAAGGATACCTCTTTTCGGTATTGCTTTAAGTATCCTACATTTGAATTCTACATGAATAGCAGAGATCCAAGTAAATCAGCAGGACCAGTCAACATCAACATCATTATAAACCAGTATTTACTAGAACTGCTCACAGAATTTTAAATTGTAACCCAATGTCATAAAAACTGTGTTATGTGTGTGTCTGAAGAAAACAACAAAGAAAGTGGAGGAACTCAGGCTGACCCAGAAATAGCACTTGAAAATACAGACAAAACAAAAGCAAAGCCTCCTTCAAACAAAAATTGGAAAAATGGCCAGGCACAGCAGCTCATGCCTGTAATCCCAGCACACTGGGAGGCAGAAGTGGGGGATGGCTTGAGCCCAGGAGTTCAACACCAGCCTGGGCAATTGGGCAACATGAAAAAACCCCAACTCTACAAAAATTACAGAAATTAGCTGGGTGTGGTGGTAGGTGTCTGTAACCCTTGAGAGGCTGAGCCAGGAGGTCAAGGGTGAAGTGAGCCATGATTGCACCACTGTACTCCGGCATGAAAGAGATCTTGTCTCCAAAAAAAAAGCTAGACACAGTGGCTCACATCTGTAATCCCACCATTACGGGAGACCAAAGCAAAAGGATCACTTGAGCCCAGGAGTTTGAGACCAGCCTAGGCAAGATGGTGAGACCCCATCTCTACAAAAATTTTTAAAGGGAAAAGCAAAAACAATTCCAAGGTAAGACTATATATATTTTGACTAGCAAACCAATTTGATCAGTGAAAAATTGTAGCTTGGACACCTCATCCCTGCAACAAAACACGAATAGGCTGGGAAAGCTTAATCTCAGGTCCTACTTGTCATTTATTTACATAATAAGTAAATCTCCAATGTCTGTCTCACAGCCTACTTCTCTGTTCTGAAATGTGCTCTCTATTGAGGGTTCAATTCTATTGCAGTTATCTCAAATACGGTCACATCACTAAAGGTGACCTCTCATTTTAATATGTGGCTTACTTTGTTACATATTTTGCAAACGATAACAATAGTTCATATTAACTTAAATTTCCCAGACAACAGCAAAGGATTCTCAAAAGTTACTGAAAAATAAATAGACATAAATAAAGAGAGGTCAGGAGTTCAAGAACAGCCTGGGCAACATGGCAAGAACCCCCTCTCTACAAAAACAAAACAAACAACGACGAAAAAGCTCAATTAGTTGTTAAAACTGTTAAAAGGAAATGATGTGAATTTTTTTTTCTTTTTTGAGATGGAGTCTCGCTCTGTCACCCAGGCTGGAGTGCAGTGGTGCAATCTTGGCTCACTGCAAGCTTGGCCTCCCGGGTTCACGCCATTCTCCTGCCTCAGCCTCCTGAGTAGCTGGGACTACAGGCGCCCCCCACCACACCCGGATAATTTTTTTTGTATTTTTAGTAGAGACGGGGTTTCACCATGTTAGCCAGGATAGTCTTCTCCTGACCTCGAGATCCGCCCACCTCGGCCTTCCAAAGTGCTGGGATTACAGGCGTGAGCCACTGCGCCTGGCCATGATATGGAATTTTAAATGTTTTTCTTTATTTTTTGAGACAGGGTTTCATTCTTGTCACTCAGGCTGGAGTACAATGGCGCGATCTTGGCTCACTATAACCTTCGCCTCCTGGTTCAAGTGACTCTCCTGCCTCAGCCTCCTGAGCAGCTTAGACTAAAAGCATGCACCACCACGCCCAGCTAATTCTTGTATTTTTAGTAGAGACAGGGTATTTCACCATGTTGGTCAGGCTGGTCTTGAACTCCTGACCTCAGATGATCCACCGACCTTAGCCTCCCAAAGTGTTGGGATTACACACATGAGCCACCGTGTCTGGCTTGAATTTTTAATTTCTAAAACTAAGACACTAGAAATCAAATTCACAGTCACTGACATTTCTCCCTTCTATGCCTGGGTTAATGACCAAAAACAACAACAACAACAACAAAAAAAAACAAAAAACAACTTTAGCCCTTTAAAGCCGCTATTGCTAGAAATGACTAAATAATAAGCAGGATGACTTCCATCTCCCACAACACTCTTCTACCTAGAGCTCCAATCACAGGATATAAATGGGTTCTATATGGTCAGAACACCACAGCTGCCAGAACAACTGTGAAAATGTTGTTGGCCGGGCGAGATGGCTCATGCCTGTAATCCCAGCACTTTGGGAGGCTGAGGTAGGTGGATCACCTGAGGAGTTCGAGACCAGCCTGGTCAACATGGTGAAACCTCGTCTCTGCTAAAAATACAAAAATTGTCATGGTGCGCACCTGGAGTCCCAGCTACTTGGGAGCCTGAGGCAGGAGAATCGCTTGAGCCCAGGAGGAGGAGGTTGCAGTGAGCCAAGATCGTGCCACTGCACTCCAGCCTGGGCAATGGAGCAAGACTCCAACACACACACACACACACACACACACACACACACACACACACACCACACACACCACACACACACAGAGAGAGAGAGAGAGAGAGAGAGAGAGAGAGGGAGAGAGACAGAGAGAGAGAGAGAGAGAAAAGAGAATAAAATATTGTTGTCTTCACAGGATTAGTCTGCCCAAGATCACAAAGCAAGAAATGCTTTAGCCAGTACTTGAATGTAGATCTGCACATAACATGTAGGCAAGAAGGTAGAGAAAATAGAACTCTCATACACTGCTAGTGGGAACGTATAGTCATGCTGGAAACCAGTCTTGCAGTTCCTCAAAAGGTTAAACAGAGTTACCATATGAACTAGCAATTCTAGGTATACAGTGAAGAGAAATAAAAATATCTCCACACAAAAACCTGCACCTGAATTTTCACAGCAGCATTATCCTTAATAGTCAGTTCCTTCTATGTATTTTTTTTAACAACAGTACAAACTTTATTCATAAATAAAACTTCATAAGGTTAAAAGCAGGGGCAGTTTCTATTTTAAAAAGGGAACGGGGAAGGCAGCCTGCTATTTTATTTAAAAATCACAAGTTAGGTTTTTCAAATGGATAGCAGTTGAGATCATTAAATCCCCTTCCTACTTCCCAGATTTTCATAAAATAGCACATTAACTCCTCAGTCATTGGAAAACCACCCCAAATATCTACCAACTGATGAGTGGATAAATCAGTAGTCAAGCCATACAATAAAATATTATTCAGCAAAAAGGAATGGAATATTGATACATGCTACAACACAGATGAACTCCGAAAACATTATGCTAAGTCAAAGAAGCCAGTCACAAAAAAAGTCAAAGAAGCCAGTCACAAAAAAATCACATACTATAGGATTCCATTTATATCACATGTCTAGACTAGGCGAAGCTAAAATGACAGAAAGTATACTAGGAGTGGGAGAAAATGAGGTGTGACTGCTAAAAGGGTTTCTTTTGTGGGACTGATCAAAATGTTCTAAAATTTATTGTGGTAATGGTTGCACAACTCTAAATGCACTAAAAAGCATTAAATTTTATACTTTTGATGTGTGATTTGTTGTTTATATCTCAATAGAGCTATTACCCCCAAAAAAATCAACCCCACAAGCTTACGGCTGACATCTACCACCTTAGGTCTCCAAGTTCACATTCACTGTACCATTTAGATACTGACTGAAGAGTATTTGTTGTGTATTGGTTTTCCAGTATCCCTTTGCTAAGTAATACTCCAATTTCCTTCTAAGGAATTACATACGCCCTGCTCTCCCCTGTCCCAACAGACCAAGCCTCACCAATTTTCTAAGCCAAGTGGTAGACACATAGCCCACACTAGGCCAGCAGAATGTTGCCTCCTAAGAATCTAAATGTTACAGTGCATCCATTACAGCTTCCTAAGTCCTTCGGAGCTATCTCGGTTCTCAGTCGTTTCCAAGTATGTTTCTCTAGCCTTCTCAATCTTGTGAATTCCTGTTATTTTTCCAATAAATTTCCTTTTGCTTAAGTTAGATCAAGTTGGTTTCTGATGCCTGTAATTAACGGTATACTTTCCAATTTCCTAGTATTGAGAGGCATTTTACAAAAGTGTGGTACCAACAAAAGCTCGACATTGCCCAACTAGCTGCATTTACACTGACTGCTTCCTCTTATTTTCCAAACCTTAATTTCCAAGAGGAAAAAAAACCCTATGGGTACTGCAGAGGAGGTAGCAGTGATTATTACAGATGTCCGCTGCTTACCAGGAAAAAAAAGGGGAGATAGTAATTTCTAATAATATCTCTAATTTACGCTGCAGATGGTGGCTCACGCCTATAATCTCAACACTCTGGAAGGCTGAGGCAGAACTGCTTGAGGCCAGGAGTTCAAGACCAGTCAGTGTGACAAAGAGAGACTCTGTCTCCCCAACCCCACCCAAAAATAAAACAAAACAGAACGCACACACAAAAAACACCACAAAAAACAACCAAAAAACCTGAGTTTTTTGTTTTTGTTTTTTTTTTGAGACGGAGTCTTGCTCTGTCACCCAGGCTGGAGTGCAGTGAACGGATCTCAGCTCACTGCAAGCTCCTCCTCTCGGGTTCACGCCATTCTCCTGCCTCAGCCTCCCGAGTAGCTGGGACTACAGGCACCCGCCACTTCGCCCGGCTAGTTTTTTGTATTTTTTAGTAGAGATGGGGTTTCACCGTGTTAGCCAGGATGGTCTTGATCTCCTGACCTCATGATCCGCCCGTCTCGGCCTCCCAAAGTGCTGGGATTACAGGCTTGAGCCACCACACCCGGCCTTGAGTTTTTAGGAAATAATTTTTTAATCAAAATAAACACATTGTGAGCAGGAGGAATGCCTTATTACAGGATTCAGAATGCTGTAATTCCTAACTATAAATAGCAAACTATTAATCCTTATTAGACCTTAGTTGACCTGGCACAAAATTTTGTTGCCAACAGTAAGGAGCTTCCATGTTTCCCTCAATAATGAACTACTCATTTCTTCACCTTCTTAGATTTTCGAAAAA